TTTTATTCTATTCTGTATTCTATTCTGAATCCTATTTTATTCTATTCTGTATTCTGTTCTATTCTATTCCGAATCCTATTTTATTCTATTCTGTATTCTATTCTGAATCCTATTTTATTCTATTCTGTATTCTGTTCTATTCTATTCTGAATCCTATTCTATTCTATTCTGTATTCTATTCTATTCTGAATCCTATTCTATTCTGTATTCTATTCTATTCTGAATCCTACTCTATTTTATTCTATTCTATTCCTGTGGTGGCACAGTGGTTAGAATGCAGTATTGCAGACTTAATTCCGCCAACTGCCAGCAGTTCGATCGTGACTGGCTCACGGTTTCTTTTTGTTTTCTTTAATCAAAGCAAGTCGGTTTAGCCATCACCGTTAAACTCCCACCAACTTCTGCAGCCCTTCATCTGTTCCGGGAATCAAAAGCGTCCTTCCGTTGTTGTTGTTTTTACGCTAAATCTCGCTGCCGTCCACACATATATAACGTTCATGCCTTTTCTCCCTTTCTCCCGCAGGCTCCCGCTCCAGGACCAGTCCCCGAGGCTGCCACCAGCACCCCTAGCCCACAGCTGCCTCTGGAACCCCCCTCCGCCGCCCCTCAAGAAGACTCTATGCTCCCCGAGCCCGACCCTCTGGTGGCGGAATGGGGCCGGCAACGAGAAGACGAAGACAGTCCCGCGGCCGGCCAGCCCCTCCTGGATCATCAATATTGAATTAGAAGTTGGGGGGGGGGGGGCGCACACTCTTGACGTCCTATAGAACTACGGGCTGGTCCCGTTTGACTCTTCCTGGCTTCCCCGCCTGGTCACTCGTCACTCCCGGCTCTTCTGTTCATTCACACAACTCAACTTGACCCAATGTTTTTGTCTGCTAGACCAAGGACAAGCAATATAGGCTGTTTTAGCCTTGCCTGCAATTTCTTCCATTTGCACTTCCTTTCTTCTTCCACCATCTCCCCCAAATCTCTTCCACTGGCCTGCAGGGGCAGGCTTCCTCCCTCCCCCTCCCCAAATCACAAGGACCCGCCTTGCTCACGCACTCTGTCCTTCACTGGGCGATGCTCAAGGCCGCCCCCGCCCCTCATTCCCCCCCCCCCTTTCTCCCCTGCTCTTTGTCGTCCCTCGGGGTTAATAATAACGATAATAATTCTTTTCGTTTTGTTTTGGTTTTTTCCCGCCCCGTCTTCCCCCTCCCCGGATCGTGGAGTTGGGGGTTGGTGGGAAAATTAAAAAACGTGGGAAGGGGGGGGGGGGAAATCTCACAGCAGCCGACGAACTTCGACGTTCAGGATTTGGAGAAAAGCGGGGAAAGGCGCAAGACACAAGTTGTTGGGGTGTCTTTGCAGAAAATTGGAAAGGTCAAGGTTCCCCTCGCACATCTGTGCTAGTCGTTCCCGACTCTAGAGGGCGGTGCTCATCCCCGTTTCAAAGCCGAGGAGCCAGCGCTGTCCGAAGACGTCTCCGGGGTCATGTGGCCGGCATGACTCAATGCCGAAGGCGCGCGGGACGCTGTTATATTCCCACCAAAGGTGGTCCCTATTTTCCTACTTGCATTTTTTACCTGCTTTCGAACTGCAGAAGCTGGGAAAAGTAACGGGAGCTCACTCCGTTATGCGGCACTAGGGATTCGAACCGCCGAACTGCCGACTTTTCTGATTGACAAATTCAGCGTCTTAGCCCCTGAACCACCACGTCCCCTGGATAGAAGTTCTTTTTTGATAGGTTGGGGTGTTTATTGTCTCATTTCTCTTAAGNGCAGAAGCTGGAGGTGTGACGGGAGCACACCCCATCCCATAGCAGCAACTGGGTCTTGACCGCGAGCCTGCCGAACGTCAGCCCAGCGCCCTAACCACGTCCTAGCCACCGCGCTCCCATCCCCAGACTGGCCTGACCTCCTTGCCTTGTTCTCTCCGCAGAATCCGATCCCAGCCTTCCTCCTCCGAGCCAGAGCTGGCTGGTCCAGCCCCAGCTAAGCCAGACCGACGGGCGACCCCCGCCGACCCCCGCCGCCTCGTGGCCTCCGGGCCCCCATTTCCTGGGAAGCCAGCTTTCCTGCGCCAGCTCCTTGGCTTCCGTGGCTGAGGGCGCCGGACGTACCCCTCTGCCCCTCCACCCCAGCCTCGGGACTCTCTCCCCTTTTGTCTACGAGGGTCTCTGCAGCAAGTGGAGCTTGCCCACCCGCAAAGGACTGAACGGGTTAGGGGGCAGCGAGAGCGAATTCCCGCCCGGAACTCCGCCCCCCCACACAAAGGACAGCTCTTCTATAGCGACTAATGCTGTTGCCGCCTTGGGGACACTTACCATTGGAGGGAGCCCTAAATCTCAGGTAGGTAACCCCCCCTCGCCCCCAACTCCTTTTTACACAATTCCTCTTGTCTTTTTTTTTTTAAAAAAAAACATGGAACCCCCCCCTCCCATACAAAATGGCCACCCGACTCTTGGCCAAGGTGACCCCAAACCGGCACGAATGTGGTACTTAATTGGCATCCTGTTTCTGTTTGAGAAAGCCGAGCAGGGTTTGATAATGCACATTGCCCATCATTTAACGATCAGTGGCTGAGCGCCATGGTGGCGCAGTGGGTCGGAAGGCCATATGGCAGGCTAATCCTGACCACTGCCAAGAGTTCAATCCTGACAGGCTCCTGGTTGACCTCAGCCTTCCGGCCTTCTGTCTGTAAAATGAGGACCCTGATTGTTGGGGGCAAGAGGCTGATTCTGTAATCCACTTAGAAGGGGCTATAAAGCACTAGAAAGTGGTATATAAGTCTAATTGCTATTGCTATTCCATTCCATTCTATAGACTTGTATACTGCAGAATAGAACAGAACAGAATAGAATACAGAATAGAACAGGATTCAGAATAGAATAGAACAGAACAGAATAGAGAACAGAATGGGATTCAGAATAGAACAGAATACGGAATAGAATGGGATTCAGAATAGAACAAAATACAGAATAGAATAGGATTCAGAATAGAATAGAACAGAATACAGAATAGAATAAAATAGGATTCAGAATAGAATAGAACAGAATACAGAATAGAATAAAATAGGATTCAGAATAGAATACAGAATAGAATAAAATAGGATTCGGAATAGAATAGAATACAGAATAGAATAGGATTCAGAATCCTATCCTATCCTATTCTATTCTGAATCCTATTCTGTTCTATTCTATTCTATTCTGAATCCTATTCTATTCTGTATTTTGTTCTATTCTGAATCCCATTCTATTCCGTATTCTGTTCTATTCTGAATCCCATTCTGTTCTGTATTCTGTTCTGTTCTATTCTATTCTGAATCCTGTTCTATTCTGTATTCTATTCTGTTCTGTTCTATTCTGCAGTATACAAGTCTATAGAATGGAATGGAATAGCAATA